GATCAGGTAGTGACAGTAGATCTGCAGTTTTATCACAGTTAAGGCAAATGGCTGATAGGTATTAGAGCAGAGGGCATGAATACAAACACATGATAGTTCTTTTTTTTTTTTCTGAGCAAAGAGATTCACCAACATATTACTAACAGATTTCACTCAAAAATTAACTTTCTGTGGGAGATTTTTTACTTGGTAGTTTTGATTTTTGATCATTAACTGTTTGTTGCCAGTAAAAAAAAAAAAAAAGAAAGCTATTACCAAAAGTGGCTAAAGTCCATGCTTACTGTTAATGACTGGATGGATATAAAACATATTATAAGACTTTAGGATATAAGACTTTACATGACCGTCAGAGGAAAGCGCTTAGTAAGGTCCTTGGTTATCTCTTTCGAATATGAATCTTTTAATTCAAAATTTGAAGTTCTCTTTGTGATTAATAAAGTATCTTTGAATTGTCTGCATTATGTCTGTGTTTCTTGCTATACTCCAACACTTTTCATTGTAAATAATACCGTGTCAGACTTTCCATTCTGTGCGATGTAAAATTACTGAAAAAGCCGATGTTGTCTTGATGACAAATATTTCCTCTATAATTAGGTGCTTTTTTCAAGTAAAATAAAATGATCAAAATTTAACCATACCAACCTAATTTCAAAATCTATGTTGGCCTCATAGGCCTGGTAGCTCTGGACTGGAAATGGTCCAAACTTAAAGCCCTGTTCCAGCAGTCGCTTTGCAGGCGCGATGAGACGAGGCATCGCCATCGTAATCCGCAAGAAATCCAGGCTGCGCTGCCCGTGGTAACCGTACATGCCTTCAGTCGAAACAAAAGAGAAGCTTTGAATTTCATTTTTACTAAGAGACATAAATACTCCCTTAATACAGGCTTGTTAATCTATTACGGCTTCCATTTCTTTACAAAATCCAGCTTTCTAAAGCCTGATTATGGTAGTTTATGATAAATACAGATCTCCCTTAAAACATGAATTCAATGCTCTTACTCTCTTTGCGGCAGATGTCCACAGCAAGCACCGTGATGGAGATATTGTCCTTATTGGAGCGCATGTCCTTAAGAACCACAGAGTTCAACTCTCTTTTAAATTCACCGAGGTAGTTAGATGAAAATCCTAATAAAAAGAGAAAAAAGAAAAATGAAAATGGAAATCCTGCAAGAGGGATTATACAGGTCACAATAATTTGCATCTAATAAGAATAAAATGAACCAAAGTTTGACAGCTCAGAAAAAATAATGTTTTTTTTGTTGCAAGCTTAAGCATGATATAAAATACAGTTTAACATAAAAATCCCAATTGAGTCTGGGGTAAAGTTCTCACCGCTTGGTGCAGGAACATAGAAGTAAGGCGCAAAGCCGTGAACATGACAGCACACACTGTTGCCGCTGTCAGTTACACCAAACATCCGAATGATTGGTACTTTTGCTTGTGATTGGCCTGGCATGCCAGCTACAGAGTTACCTGTAGGACAAAAAAAAAAAAAAAAAAACACAGTTATTTTCCATCATCTTACAGATCTTGGTCCACCTCTTCAGGTATTCTACAAACCCAACTTTTTTTCTCTATCTTTTATTTTTACAGACTGCATTATTTAGATTTATCTTTCATACTTGCCGAGGTAATAGTCTAGATCAATCTGCTGGAACACTAATGTTTCAGAGGATGGGTCCAGTGTGGGGGCATGAGGTCTCCTCCAACGTGGGTTTAGGTCTGCTGAGAAAAGGTCACCTGATGGGACAGGAAGGTAAGTCAGTATTTAGACCAAAATAAGTTAAACACAAGATCGCTAAATGCCAATGTGTGGTTAAAGAAATGTATTAAAAACCTCTGTATTTTTTAAGGCCCAACACTCACCAACAGGAATGACATCATGTCCTGCCTGTCCCTCCATGTCCTCCATATCCATCTCTGCCTCGTCAAACATCAACAATTCTTCCTCAAACTGGGATGGACTATCCTCCCATTCGCCATTCACTTTACCTCGCTTGGCTTGGGACGAACCTCCCATGGGAGGGCCACCATTACGGCGTTTAAACTCCATACCTGTAAGCGAAGGAATTCAAAACAAAAAGGCCATAAGTTAAAGGAATACAAATAGATTAGGGGCTGAATATACTTGACAAAAAATTTTAAATATAAATGTAAACTAATGTATTTCAAGGTAGAAATTACATAAGAAAACCTGTTTGAGGCGGACTATAAACTAGGGTTGTATACCTTGCATCGAGACATCAACACAAACCGTATAGCAAGAGCTACAATAGTTTACGTCAAATAATACTCAACTGTTAGTAGGGGTGCAAATAATAATCGTTTTGTATCGATGCATCGATCCAACAGCCGATGATCCAATGTATCGATACCTTCATAAGAGAATCGATTCGTGTTTTGTTTTTTTCCTCCGGTCGATTTTTAGCCATTTGCTCCTGGACGTAATTCTGACCCCCACGCTGCGGTGGCGCTAAACCTATTTTGCCCTCCTACCTCGCTTCCTTTAGCCACTACCCTCTTTCCGCTTGCACACACGCTTGTTACCATTTGCTGCTAGTGCACTTTTGCACTCATTGAACTGATTTTGTTGAGTATTGTTATTCTATAGTGAATGTAGTATAGGCCTATTTTTGTTACTTAATCTTCTAATGCACTTATGCATTAATTTCAGTATTTTTTTATGCAAGGCCTTTCAGAATCTATAACACAGAGGTATTATTATTTTTCAGTGAATGAGGTCTTCATAGGCATAGGTGGAGTACTTCTGTTATTTGCTGTTGTTTCTTAACTAAAATGCAGAACGATATTACAGCTTTCCCTGATTTATTTCAGATTTGAAACATTGTCTAGCCTGTAAGGTAAAAAAAAAAAAAAAAAGAATCAATTAATCGAATCGTGGTGTATTCCTGAGTATCGAAAATAATCGAATCGCTGGGTCAGGAAATCGATACTGAATCGAATCGCCATGATAGGTGTGATTTACACCCCTAGTGGGTACAGGGTTGTGCATGTGCATTTTTTTTTAAAGTGAAGAGGGCGGGCTTTTTAAAAAATTCATCCTCCACAATACCTTTAGGACCTTACTGTATTATCTACCCAGCATGCATTGCACAGATGAAAAGATGCATACCTCATTACAACATATTTAGAGCAACATGGTAAGCTAGATGTTGAATTTTTTAAAGTCCTGCCCAGCCAGTCAGTGGCCATTTGGCTTTTTTTGTACCCGTTTGCTTTATTTAGCCAACTCTGCCACCTAAAAAGAATTTTTAAAAAAAAGGGAAAAAACACCAGACATAAAAAGTAAATATGCAACCTGTGCAAGTCGAGGTTTGTTCGCCTTAATGTAAAAAGAGACCAAAGAAAACGGAGCCTGAATAAATGTGATTGAAGGTGAATGGAACCCATAATCTCTCTGGACAGCATTTCTCAATTATTCGATTTTTTTTTCCTCTATATTCAATGCTTCTTAAAGCACTGTCCGTAAGTGTGTAAGTTTTACCACTTTGCATTTAGCAACACGTCACAACACAGAAAAAAAAATTATGTCAGGCTACAACTATTAATATAGCTTTCTTGGAACTGAACATGTTTTTCTCCCAAACCCTGAAACCATGACCCAAGGTGGATTTAAGCTAATACAATAAGACATGTCAGCCTGTAAGCACTCTTACCACCAAGTAAAGAAAAATCAAAGGCAAAAAAAACAAACAATTAATTACAAGTGTTAAACGTTGGTTTGAGGAATGAGCTATGCAACCTCCTCTTCCTCCTCTCCCCTGAATTTCCCTTTGTCCCCCTCCCCCCCTTTATATCTAGGTGGAGGAAGCTCCATGGCTGGGCATGCTAGGCATGCTGCCAACCATAGCGGCTGTGCCAGCCATACCTGAGGTTCCTCCCATACCTGGAGGACTGTGCTTGTTAGGTGAGGTCATGTCGGCTCCCCGCCCCTGACCTGGGTCTAGGGTCTGGGGGTTGTGGTGGGCGTGCTGCAAGGCATGACGCTCCAGCAAGGTGCGGTGGGTGAACGCCCGGTGGCAAACATTGCACTGGAAGGTGCGCTCGGCACGGTGGGTGCGCATGTGCACATTAAGGGAGCTTTTCTGCGTGAAGCGCTTGCCGCACATGGTGCACTGGAAGGCCCTGACACCAGTATGAACCACCATGTGTTTGAGGAGGTAGTCCCGCAGGGAGAAGGAGCGCCAGCAGATGGAGCACTGATGAGGTTTTTGACCTACAGAAGGAAGGGAAAGGAAGCTCAGACACTTATTTTCCCTTTAAATATCATTAAGTGATGAACAAAGTAGTTAATAACTTTTAAGTAAAGCATCTCTGGAAAGGGTCATCCACTATACCTTTAAGTCAATCACCAAGTGGTTTGAATTTAAATGTTTTCTACCTATAAAGGAAGAAAAAACTGACCCGAGTGGATGAACATGTGCTTGCTGTAGTTCTTCCTGGAGCGTAAGGATTTGCCACAGTGCGTGCAGTCGAACGAGGTCTCTGATCCCTGGGAGGAAGGAGAGGGTCCTGCTGAACAGGAGGACGCCGAAGACGTAGGGACGGGGGTCATTGGTGCTGGGGGCGGAGCCTGCTGAGAGGGCTCCGCCCCTGCCATGTTGTCCATCCCTCCCATTGGTCCGCCGACATAGAATGGAGGAGGCTGAGAGTGGCTCACTGGGTACTGGAATAGAAGCTGCGAAGGAGAAGGAGGGCCGCATGAATAGATCATCTTCACCTGGGTGGTCTACGTTACGTGTTCTCAAGAACATTTCTCCCTTTTAGGATCCCATACAGGAAATCTAATCAGACTTGTATTTTCAGCACAGACGGACAGAAACGAGACCCAAGGCGCTGACCTGGTTGTTGATGGACTGCGAGGAGGGCGGTGGAGTCAGCGGCTTGTTGACTCTTCCTCTGGGGTTAAAACCCATGGCTTGAGGAGGTTCGCTCTGAGGCCAGAAGCTCTCTGAGAAAACGCCATGTTCATCATAAAAATCCTAAAATCAAAACAAAAAAGGAAGAGAAATATACATCAGGGCTC